TACTTTCAATCTGCTATATTTTATGGTAAAGTATTTTATTGAAACATATGTTGTGCAAGTATTTGTATCTTTTATAAATATATGGAGGTGTTAATTTTGAAAGAATTTATTCAAAGCCAAATACAAGTTATTTAGATTGGTTCACTTAGTATTGTTATCTTCTGGCTAGGTACCTGATCTTAGCTGCTTGTATGCATTTTCATTGTAATTGCTTTTGATAAATTATTTCTAAGGAATGGAATCAAATTGCTAATAATTAGTGCAATTAAAATCATTAGTGCAATAAAATCTGATCTTTAGCATTGGCTTTTCATATGTTAACTTTCACAGGCAATTTTTATCTGGTCACTGGTGAAATTTAGTAGACCTAGTTATGGTGAAATTCCATACCCGGACTGGGGAGTTGCTATCGGCTGGTGTATGATTATTTTCTGCATTATTTGGATTCCAATTATGGCTGTTATAAAAATAATTCAAGCTAAAGGAAATATCTTTCAAGTAAGCACATTAAATTAATATTATTTATTCACCACCCCAAGTCAAGTATCCTTCCATCACCATTTGTCCCCCTTTTACCCTTTCTTACCTTTCCCCACCACCCTTCCCTTCTGATGATCACCATATTGTTGTCTGTCTATGAGGGTTTTTTTTTGTTTTGTTTTTGCTTAATCCCTGTACCTTTTTCACCCTGTCCCCCTCCCCCTCTCCTCTGACAATTATCAGTCTGTTCTCTGTATCTATAAGTCTGTTTCTATTTTGTTTGTTAGTTTATATACAGATGATGTATTATAGAATGTACTCCTGAAACCTATATAATTTTATTAACCAATATCACCCCCAAAAATTCAATTAAAATTAATATTATTTGTACTTCATATAAAGCGCTATGATCAAACTGAAGATTAATTTACCAGTATGGTGATAATATGAGATGATGACCATGAGATCAAATTAATCACTCTTTCCTTTAGGCTACTTCTATAACCTGAGACAAACATCCATTGCTATGTGCATAGCATTGTATTATTCTATACATATATTTGTGTGTCTCCTTGTACTAGACTATCAGCTCCTTTAAGGAGAAGTCTTGTCTTGTTTGTTGCTATAACCTCAGGCACTATTAGAGTGCTTAGCACATAAAAATTATCATATCTATACTTGTACTAAGTTGTTCCTGGAGATGATGCAAAAGCAAAGCAAATGACCTGACCTTTTTGTTTTATATCTATAATGTTCACTTGTAAAACCTGGTCTGAAAAAAACACAACCTGCTCTGTTTATAATACATGTCTTAATAGTATGTTTAGACTGGGAAAATACTGGTAAATTATCTTGAACCCAAACTAGATCCCAAGTCATCCCTCTTCCATGGAGACTAGGGGGATACAATTGATTATAACACATCACTAGGACATAGGGCAATGACAAGGTAGGCTCAGTAGTCAGATTTTAAATAAATACCTAAGCCCATCCAAGAATGGATCTAGGTCAATTGTTTTACCTGGAGTTCCTTTTCTTTTGTTTTTGAAACTTTCCAGGTATACACTGGTTTAGATCCTCACCAAACTGTCACCCTAAGGCTAGGGCACTGAAATGTAACATTCTAAAATAAAAATGTACTTTGATACTTATTTATTTACAGATTGTAGCACTTAAGTTCTAAGACAGCTTTTTTTCCTCCCCATTTTAGCGTATTGTAAGCTGCTGCAGACCAGCTTCCAACTGGGGTCCATACCTGGAACGACACCGTGGGGAGAGATATAAAGACATGATAGATCCTAAGAAAGAGATTGACCATGAAATACCTACTGTCAGCGGCAGTGGAAAACCAGAATAAGTTCTAATTTTTAAAAATATGTACTTGTGTAATGTGATTATTTTAGAATAGAGAGAATTTTTATTTATTTGTATGTTAATTGAATAAAATGTATATATATGTTCATAATAGTATAACAACCATTTTTTTTCCATTTAAGCAGGAATGTAATATAAAAATGTGAATCTACTAATGTTTAACAATGTGCTTATTATATTTCTTTTTAGATGATCTATCTGTATAACATACACATAGCTATCTCTATTTCACAATAACATTTTTGTACATATTACCATATTATATTGAAGGCTTTAATTTGAGCAGGTTATTTAGAAAATAGTTATATTTTCTATTGTACAAGTTTTTAAATATTATTTGTTTATATTTTCTTGTTATACAATCTTTTCCCCCCCATAAAGCTGGGGGAAATAAATCAGTATAATTAAAAGAAAGTGTTAAAATGGAAGGTCTCACTTGATTACAAATGTCATACATATATGGGATAAATGGACGTGTATATATAACATGAGGACTGTAGTTTAATGCTTTTGATCCAAATAGATCTAAAAACTTTATGTATTTATGTCTTTTTCTATGTGAACTTAGTAATGTTCTTTATTTACAAATAGTAAAATAAGACAGAAAAATAAGGATCCTATGTACTATAAGTGATAAATCTAGAAAATGGAAACCAGAATCTTTAAGTACTTCTTTCCCCATATAATGTCTTCTTTAGGTTATATTTGGAAGAAAAATATGACCCATCTAATTTCTACTGTTTTAGAAATTAAGAGTAGTTCATTGTATTCTCTGAAATCTAGGTGTAATTTAAAATAGAACATGGAACAAAATACTAATCAGGAAATGGCTTCAATCAAATTTAAAAACTTATGCTGTAATATATAGTTAATAGATCAAGTATAATGATTTTGTCTTATTTGAATATGTCACTACTTACAGGTGATAACTTATTTACATACTTATAGGATATACATTTGCTAAACTTGTCAAGAATGAGAGAAACCAAATTAGAAAGTCCTATGTCCCAGTTTCCTTACAGAAGACAATGAAAACATATCATTAATAGTTTTTTACACTGATTACATATTATTGACAATTGGTTAAAACATCACAGCCTAGGATGATGAACGTTGCGTAAATATGTAAGAAAGTTTTCAACTATTTTTAAGGTTTTTAACTTGGGCTTCAGAGAACATATGGAAGTGTTGTAGGTGGTGGGAAAGGCACCAGGGGTCAGATTGGATCTGGGTTCAGCAACCTCGGTACTCGAGTTTTGGCTAGAGAAGAATTCAGAGCCAAGACTCAAAACTATAAGAGAACATTTATTTATAAAATCACAGAGGTGGAAGAGGTAATTCATAGAAGAAATGGGCTTAGGAAACTGGTTATAGAGGCAAAGGAAGGGCCCTTGGAGCTTGGGAGTGAGGAAGGTCATGGTAACACCCTGGGAGTTGGGGAAAGGGGAAGGGAAGGGAAAGGGAAAGACATGGGCATGCTCCCAGGAGGGAAAGCACACTGGGTCCTGGTCCTAAGGGTTTTAAGGGTGGAAATTTTAGGGGAGATCCCAGGGGAAGATCTTAATAGAATATTCAGCAGCTTTTCAGGTGTGTCCTTTCAACACCCCCCACCCCCAAGAGTAGCTCTCCACTGATTGTTTGGTCCATGCCAAGGCAGAGGGTCATTATCCAATGCAGCTGGTCCTGAGGTCAGCTTTGGAGTCACTTGCCTGGTTTTGCTGCTTTTCTGGGCTTGCAGCTGAGATACAACTGAAGCCTAGATGTTATCTCTAGGGAGGAAAGGTCAGGGGGTCCAAACTGCATGACCAGTGATATGGTAGGAGAGGAGGTCACCCTGGGGGTGAGGTCCCACCTTACAATTGTCCTTTCCTAGGCACCCAGGGCTTTCCACCCTGGTGACCTTCTGTACCTGGCCCATTGTCCTTGCTCTGCTCATGTCTAACTTCCTACCACATACATAAAATTGTATGCAATATTTTTCTATGTGTATATATGCACACATTTTTCTAAGGAAAGTGTCCATAGTCTTCATCAGAATATTAAAGAGATCTGTGGCTCAAAAGTTTAAGAACCACACACACCACAGCTAGCTTTTTTCTTGGCAAATAAGAAATAAAAGGAATAATTTTAAACCTTAATTTCCTATACATTTTACATTTTAAATTCCTTTGCTGCTTCCTTTAGATTGAGGGTTAAAGGAGTACGGGATTAAGGTAATTCTTTAATTTATACTAATAATTTGTTTTGAGAGGAGTGGGCATGAAGGTAAGTAAGTAGGTAGGCCTGTAATTGAACAATCTCAGTGAGTTATGTACATACATATATATAAGATGAACTCATCTTAGATATTTTGAGGGATTTCTTTGAGGGTAGATCAAACGCTGTTAGTGAACTTCAACAGATTGTTAATTCCTCAGTTACACTGGATTTTATAAAATATTATATGAAATAGATTGGTGACTAGAGTTTAGAAATACTTTTTTCTTAATTTTAATCCATATTATAGCACAGGCATTCTGCCATTATATTTTGATGCTATTTGAGGTGTGGATTTTTTACAAGTAGAAAAGTGCATGCAATTTTCTACAGGTGACTCTTGCAATTCAGGAAAGATTTAAGTACATTTCTAATGAAATAATATCTAATTGGCAGTGAGGAGTGGGTGATGAAGAAGAAATTCCCTTTAAGAGCTTACTACAAAAAGTAGCTAGAAGTGACTCTCTTCACAAATGTGTAAAGCACAGATCTTAACAGAGTGCCTGGTATATTTTAGGGTGCTCAATGATAGCTCTTATTATTACACAGATTCCACAATGGTGAAAAAGGAGTATTCTGCATTAATGGAAAGTTTCCCATTGAACCATTGGTATTGTAAACCATTAGAGAAACCATTTTTCACATGAGTGAAATGAAAATAACTATATCTTGACTAGATTCTTTTCTTTCTCTATTGTGCTTTCATTCCTTCCCCAGTAATATATATATATATTAGCAACATCTAATCAGTTCTTTAAATGTGAGTAAGCAAATTGATAAATGTCTGAATTTTGCATCTTACTTGGCATCTCCTTCTCTTTTAAAAAGTAATTCATTTGGTATAAACATATAATCAAGTGAATACGCTCAAAGTGCTTTTAATGATTGACTTAACAGTCAGCACATTCTATAAGCATGCCAGTGGATTTACAGTTAACTAATGCACCATTTAAATCCTTAGTAACTAGGCATTGTTCCGATTCAGTCAGCCTGTATTCCACCATCTTGAGGTTTACCAATATTAGTTCTTGTATGACTATCGAGTGTGGGAAATTAATGAACATGTCCTGAGAGAGGCTGTTGACTGTAAGACTGTTAACAGTATTACCCTTAGTTGACCCAGTAGATGACAATGGTCTTACTAGTACAAGAATGGTTGAATTTGATGACATTTCACCACTGTTTTTCTATAAGGGAAGGAAATTACACATATGTAGTTTATTGAGTTTAGCAATTTACAAATATTACCAAATAACAACATGCTAGTCTTCATTACCAAAATCAACGGACTGTTCTCCCCTAAAAATTAGAGATTAAAAATCTGTTGAATGATTACACTGATTTGGAAATATGCTCTTCCCAAACACAGACT